CGCACACACACACACGAGAGCAAACAAACAAACAAACAGGGAGCCACGCACGCACGCACACATACACACGCGTGTGCGCACTCACACACACACACACACACACACAGAGAGTGCGAGCGAGAGACTATGTGATCCTGGTCAAGTCTGCCGGTGTTATTCACCGGCTTTTCCCTCCGGCGACTCCCCACCCTTTTCCCTCTGACCTAAATCGGTCCGTGACCGGTTCTGTAACGACTCGCTCCGTGATCCCCCTCCTCCGACCGCGGCGACGAAAACAGTCCATTCAGGCTTCCAGGCATCGAACACGGTCACTTCCCCAACGAGCTGTGCGTCAGGCAACTCTCACAATACACTCTCTATTCTCTCCTTGTTCTCTAGGTCCCATTCTCTCCGCATACTGAATGCCAGCTGTGCACCTTACCACCTGCGAGGCGTAAATGGACATCATCATGAATACCCCCCCCACCCCTTCTCTCTCCCCTTCCGATGCCACGTCAAATCCCCTCCTCTCTCCCTCCTCTCCATCTCTCACCCCGCGTCTCCCCGTTCTCACCGTTGGAATCGACATTTTCCCGCCGTTTTGTCGTTTCATCCGTAACGCACGTTCACTTTCGATTTACATTATTGTTGATTTTCTGCTCATGCCATGGGGTTATCGCCTCCTTTCTTCACTTCTTTCCCCGACATGAGTTCGCCTGCGACGGACCTCGCGGACTTCTTTCTGGGGTGGTGAGGGTTCTGTAATGAGCGCCCACTACTGCGCAGTTGTCGTCAGCTTTCCACATGCGGGTTCACGCTACCCGCAAGCACAGGGTAAAACTGGATGCGCCGCAAAAGAGTGGGATGGCTGGTCTTAGGGTCTTTCAGGAATCATCTTGCGCCGACGTGCGTTGCTGCAGAACTCCTCGCATGCTCACAATACGTGCCAAATCAGTCCTCGAGATATGGCCCGGAAGGCCGAATTCAGCTCTCAATAGCACGCCTTGCGCACCTCTACGATGGAAAAGGCCTCCTTTTTGCCGAACTGATGACCACGCTAGGATTCTCTCCTACCGGACTGCCGGAAAATGGTACGACGGGGCTAATTAGGCTCGGCCCGTCAGGTCCGGAGGCAGGCGTGGTATTGCACCTATGTCTCTATAGCCAACTAAGTTCAAACAGCTTTCAGCTAAGGATGTGGTTCTAGTAGGATTTGGGTTAGCTCGGACTTTCTCAGCTTTCAGTCCTAGGGAGCTACCAAAGAAGAAGAGAGAGAGAGATGCTGAATGGCAAGATGGAAAATGGGTCAAATTGTTGAAATATTTGCAATGAAAGCTCATCAAGGCCGAAGCGCTTCTGCCGGCGCTACGGCGCATCGGACCAAGCGCTAAGCCCTCAGTAACGCGGGATTCCATGTCAACCGTGTAAGCGCCGCCATCGTGACGTCGTCACGGTTCTATGACCCTTTCTTGTTCCGCCTTGCTCGGAGGATCGCCGTCACTCGCTTGCTTAGGGGTTGTTTGGCGATGGTGTCATAGGCGACTGGTTGGCTCAGGTCCGGATATAGGAGCGTGTTAGCTTCAGTTAAGGGTTGGGGTTTATAATTGTCAGGGGAGATTTGTACGTCCTTCTACTATACTGGTGAATTTACGATTTGTTGCTAAAGAAGCTAGAAGTTGGATAACCGTCCGGATGGAAGACATAACTCATCAGCGAGGCGCACGTTCTCCCCCTCCTGATCCAGGGGGTGACAGAGATGAAGAAGAGAGACTTAGGGAATTAATGCGACTATGTTATGAGGACCGGATCCTGCCCTCAAACATAGATCCAGGGGAGATGATTGTAGAAGGCCGGGAGGTAAAATTTAAGGTTAGTGAGCGGATAGATAGGGTGAAGATTGCCTGGCTGAAAGAGCACACAGTGACGGTAATTTTCCGGGAATGGGCGAGATTTTTATCGAAGAAAGTCAAAGACGATATTGTACGTGCCTTGGGAGATGACAAGATTCAGGAGGGGAGTTTTGATGCAGAGAATTTTCAGCGAGGGAGGGTTAAAGTGGAAAGCCCTAAAGTGGTCTCCTATGTGGCGAAGTCTAGAACGATTGCGTTTTGGATAATCACCAAGAGCCAGGACGAGATCTCAATTGGTCAGGACACGTACAAATTGGAGTTCAAACCTTGGATGACGAAGGCACAGTTACGAGATCAACGAAGAGAGGAGGATCAACTCACCTTCTGGGTTGTAGCTGTTCAGGTGCCTCTGGATTCGTTTTTTTATTTGGAGGTGCAAATTGCAAAGGCAATTTGGCCCTGTTATTCATACACATCCAACGGAGCCAGACCGTCTGAAACCTTCGCTCGTCAACGTCAAGTTCGAGATTGACCCAGCGGCACGTCCAAACATGAAGGACAAACTTTGGGTAATCACACCGGAAGGCGATGAGCTTGAAGTTAAGTTGCCATCCTCGGAAACGCCGAGTTGTCGACGCTGTCGTGCATTCTTTCATACAGAAAATGAGTGCAAAAGAGGGGCACGTCAACAGCAACAGAGCAGTCAACCAAGCAATGGTGGACAACAGCCTACAGCAACTCAGGAGTACCAGGGTCTTTCTTCCTCCGCTAAAGGTCTTCCCCCAGCCCCAGCTAACATACACGGAGCGAGCTCGACATTTGTTAGTTCTCATGACAGTCCTATGTTCTCACCGCATCACCCAACGAGCTTAGGAGGTTTTCTCGGCGTCCAGAGAGGAGGTCAACCTTGGATACCATATGCTTCACAAGCTCAGTTTGGCATGCCAAGTTGGAACGGCAACGCATTCGTATCCTGGATTCCTCATCAAGCTGGAGGTTACATCCCCCCCTTGGGTGGGGGATTGGGCACCTTTCAGACTCAACAGCAACAACATTAAGGAGTCGCGGCTGGCACGGCAGGTGTTGGTGACTCTTGTATGATGATGACGGAGACAGGCGGAGGTGGGGGAATGTCATAAGGTGCTGGGAATGAGGGGGCGAGAGGTACACAGTCGGTAGGGTCTGCCAGAGGGAGTGGCATGATGAACAATCCCAGTGGGGGGAATCTCACAACAGAGAATACCCCTGGCGGTAGGGGGAGCTCCGGGTTACCAAGGCCAACACGTTCTGGCACTCCAGGTAAACAACGACGACTTTATTTTTAAGGAAGTACCAGTGCAAGCGGTCTACAAGAGAAAGGGGAAGCATCTGACTCTTCCCTGCCACGTTCAGAAGACTCTACCGAAAGGATAAAGGTGGTGGGCACACCAGGCAGTACATCAGGAAAGAGGAGAGTTCCCGCGTCTTTGGCAAGGGGTCAACTCCAATCAGTTGAGAACAGAGTCTTGCCACTATTTTGTACGTTTGCTCGGAATTCCTCATGGGTTATTGCATGGCCTACATCAGATGGTCTTTTGCAACTAGTAAGTATCCCAGGTCCTGAGCAACCTTTGTCGTCTGCACTAGCCTCACTGGTTAGGGCCGCAATCAATGATAGGTTTCTCTTCCGGTTTATTCCGGATATGACTATGCCTAGACTGATAGTGGACAAACCGGAGGGAGGTGGGAAACGAATTAAATTTTTCGTTTCAATCATGGATGTTCGATTGGCACCTGGCCAATTGGAAAAATTGGAAGAGGAGGGAGTCCGTCTTCTCCCCCTCTCCTGGTTCGGCGAAGCTCGAAAAACCGAGTTACGCAGACTGAGAATCCCCCCTCTGCAATCTGCAGAAAGATTGGCTGAAGTAGACGGTAAGTTGTTCAAGGATAGGAAGTTGTTATCCCCGTATGTCAGGTCATCCCTGATGTCCGCTTGGTTACCAGCCCCTCAAGGCACGCCCCACATCCAACTTGTCGGCGGAAGCCATGGTGGGAATAGGCAAAATTCTTCCTGGAACGTAAGAGGGTTGGGTGATGGAGCAGGGCACCAGAAGAGAGTCGGTTTGAAAACTTGGATATTTGATAAAAAATATTCAAGTTATGTGTCTGCAGGAGACAAAAATCTCTGAAGAAAAAATTTCAGGCCTATCCAATTGGTGGGACGACCCTCAACCATGGGCCCCGACTGTGGGCTCCAAGGGGGGCACGACAATTTTAATACATAGGAAGGTAGAGTTGGAATAATAGATTTTTACTCAGACTTGCGGGGACGTTGGTCTCGGGTGAAATGTGTCATCCATGAGTCTTACTGGGTCTTTGCATCTATTTATGCTCCCACAGATGAGAGTCCTCGTGTGCTAATTTTTTCCAAGATTTACTGTTAATTATTCCTGAAGCAGATAATCTTGTGCTTGCGGGCGATTGGAATACCTCCCTAGACAATCTCTCGGGTAGGAGAATCAGAGATAAATTGACTCTCGTCAATACTATGGACGAACTAGAGTTAGTTGACCCGTACCATCTATCGTATCCCGAGTCCCCGGGATATACCTGGTTCTCCCATTACCGTGAGAACACCGGAATCACCAAACGCAGGTTGG